CCCTTGAACATTGTGGGGGTTCGGGGCACTGATCCCCCTCACACAGTTGAAAATCCTCATGTAATGTTTGACTCTCCCAAAACTTTACTAATAGCCTACTGTTGACCCAAAGCCTTACCAATAGCATAGTTGATTAACGCATATTTTGTATACATTATTATGTACTGGGTTCTTACAATAAAGTAAGCTAGAGAAAAAAATTATTAAGAAAATCATAAAGGGGGCATCTGGCTGGCTCAGTCAGAAGAGCATGTGACTCTTGATCTCGGGGTCATGAGTTTGAGCCCCATTTTGGTATGGAGATTACTAAAAATAAAATAAAACTTAAAGAAAACCATTGGGAAGGGGCGCCTGGGTGGCCCAGTCAGTTAAACGTCTGCCTTCAGCTCAGGTCGTGATCCCAGGGTCCTGGGATCGAGCCCCGCATCGGGCTCCCTGCTCAGTGGGGAGTCTGCTTCTCCCTCTGCCTGCCACCCTGCCTACTTATGCTCTCTATCTCTGTGTCAAATAAATAAATAAAATCTTTAAAAAAAATCATAGGGAAGATAAAATACATTTTCTGTACTGTACTGTGTTTAGTGGAAAAAAATCTACATAAGGGTGGACCTGAGCAATTCAAACCCGTGTTGTTCAAAGGTCAACTGTAGTTCCATTTTATTTTTATTATTTTATCATTATTTTTTTAAGATTTTATTTATTTGAGATAGAGGGAGAGTGAGAGAGCAGGAGCAGGGGAGCAGAGGGAGAGGGAGAAGTAGGCTCCCCGGTAAGCAGGGAGCCCAAAGCGGGGCTTGATCCCAGGACTCCAGGACCATGACCTGAGCCCAAGGCAGACGCTCAACCCTCTGAGCCACCCAGGCGCCCCTGTAGTTCCATTTTACACGTTCACGAGGAGTTCCAACTCCCTCACATTCTCAACAACACTTGCTATCATCAGTCTTTAATTTTAGCTAGTCTATTGGGTGTATGATGGTATCTCACTGGGATTTATTTATTTATTTAATTTATATTTAAAAAAATAAATTTGGGGGGCACCTGGGTGGCTCAGTTGGTTAAGTGAATGACTCTTGATCTCAGCTCAGGTCTTGATCTGAGGGTCATGAGTTCAAGTCCCGTGTTGGGCTCCATGCTGGGTGTAGAGACTATTTAAAAAATTAAAAAATAAAAATAAGTATTTTATTTTTAAGTAATCTCTACACCCAACGCAGGGCTCAAACTCACAACCTGGAGATCCAAAGTTGCATGCTCCATTGACTGAATCAGCCAGGTGCCCCTCTCACTGGGTTTTAATTTGCATTTCCTGACAATTAATGCTGGTGAATATCTTTTCATATGCTTGTTTGCTATCCACATATCTTCTTTGGTAAAGTATCTGCTTAAATACTGCCCATTTAAAAACTGGATTATATTCTTTGTTATGTATAATAATGTATATTCTGATTAGAAGTCCTTTATCAGATATATGACTTGCAAATATTTTCTCATAGTCTGTTGCTTGTCTTTTCATGCTCTTAATAGTATCTTTTGAAGAAGAGGAGGTTTAAAGTTTTCATGAAGTGTAATTTATACTTGTAAATTTTAGGAACTGTGCTTTCAGTGTCAGCTCTTGCACATTTGTGTAGGGGGGTCAGATTTATCTCCATAGTTCATATTTTCGATGTGCTGTAAATGGTACTATTTAAAAATTTTCTATTTCCGATTCTTCATTGCTATGACATGGAAATAAAGTTGATTTTTTTTGTACATTGACCGTCTATCCTCCAACTTAATTAACTTATTATTTTTAGTAGTTAAACAGTTATCTGCTTATTCCTATCTTCTGTTGGAATTTAAGTAATAAGGCAAAATCTTGTGGGCTTGCCCATGTTATCACCACTTCCAGTGTCCTCCATTACTTTGTATAATTCCATATTTTCATCTGATATTTTTTCCTTCTGCCTGAGAATTTCCTTTAACATTTTTTATAAAGATTTTATTTATTTATTTGAGAGAAAGAATGAGAGATAGAGAGCACGAGAGGGAAGAGGGTCAGAGGGAGAAGCAGACTCCCTGCTGAGCAGGGAGCCCGATGTGGGACTCGATCCTGGGACTCCAGGATCATGACCTGAGCCGAAGGCAGTCGCTTAACCAACTGAGCCACCCAGGCGCCCCTCCTTTAACATTTTTTAATTAAAGATTTATTTATTTATTTCAGAGACAGAGAGAGCGTAAGCAAGCAAGGGGGGGTTAGAGGGAGAGAGAGAATCTTGAAGCAGCCTCCCCGTTGAGCATGGAGCCCGATGTGGGGCTCAATCCCAGGATCCTGGGATCATGACCTGAGACCAAGGCAGACGCTTAACTGACTGAGCCACCCAGGCGCCCCACTGTCTTTATTTATTTATTTATAAAATTTATTTATTTGTCAGAGAGAGCACAAGCAGGGGGAGCAGCAGAGGGAGAGGGAGAAGCAGGCTCCCCACTGAGCAAGGAGCCCAATGCAGGACTCAATTCCAGGACCTTGGGATCACAACCTGAGCCAAAGGCAGATGGTTAACCGACTGAGCCACCCAGGTGCCCCCGCTGTATTTATTTATTTATTTTTGTTTTATTTTTTAAAGATTTATTCATTTGGCAGAGAGAGAGAGAGAGAGTGAGAGAGGGAACACAAGTAGGGGGAGTGGGAGAGGGACAAGCAGGCTTCCTGCTGAGCAGGGAGCCTGATGTGGGGCTTGATCCCAGCACGCTGGGATCATGACCTGAGCCGAAGGCAGCTGCTTAACCGACTGAGCCACCCAGGCGCCCCCGCTGTATTTATTTTTAAAAATATTCTTCTCTATGTGTTTCATGTTCGATACTTTTACTGCCATGTCTTCATGTTCACTAATCTTTTCTTCTGCACTAATGTGCCATTAAACTCAACTAATGTATTTTTCATCTTAGACATTGTAGTTTTCATCTTTAGAAGTTTGATTTGAGTGTTTTATATCTTGTGTGTTTCCACTTAATTTTTGAACAGATAGTATATAGTTGTAATAATTATTTATTGCCATTATTGGCTAAAACTTACACTTGTGTCAGTTTGGGGAGGTTTTAATTGATTTTTCTTTTTATTATGGGTCATATTTTCCTGTTTCTTTTCATGTCTGACCATTTTTGTTTGGATGCTAGGCATTTAACCTTTGGATGGTGGATATTATTGTATTCCTATAAATATCCCTTAAATTTGTTCTGGAACACAGTTACCTGGAAGTAGTTTGAAACTTCCTGGTAAGATTTGCTAGGCGAAACTGTGTTTTTGAGTCATGTTTAGTGCTAATTAATACCCACTACTGGTGTAGGACCCTTCTGTGTACTTTATGCAATGCCCCATGAGTTATGAAGTTTTTTGGTTTGGAAAGTTACTTAGCCTCTCTGGTGCTGGGTGAGCAAAGGTACTTGCTCTTCCCTCTACTCCTTTCTGGTGGTTCTTTCCTTGGCTTAGGTAATTTCCTCACGTGCTCCTCTCTGGAGTTCTTTCTGTGCTGCTCCTTCCTCTCTGGTGCACTGTCTTGCAAACTCCAGCTGCCTAGGACTATCTGGACTTTACACGCTATCTCGTCAACTTAAAGTTTACTGAGATCTACCTGGTTTCCCCCTTCATGCATTGTAACCTGTAATCTCTGTCAAGGCAGTAAGCTGGGCAATCAGACAACTCACCTCATTTATTTCTTGTCTCTTAGGGTTCGCTGTCCTTTGTTATCTGATGTCCAGTATCTTGGAGATCAATGTTTCATATATTTTGTCCAGTGCTTTTAGCTGTTTCAAGCAGGAGAGAAAATCTTGTCCTTGTTATTTCATCATGGCCAGAAGTGGACATTTGTATCTGTGTTTTAAAAATAAATTACTCATATGATTAAGGCAACCACTCCAGCCCTATTCTGAAAGTTGACATTTGAGGACCATCCCCTAAACCTATTGGACTACTCACTGATTTTTAGTCATTCATATACCTTTGTTTCTATGTCTTTGCTTTTTCAGTTCCCTAAGTCCTGAATACTTTCTCCTCCTTTGTTTTCCTTCCAAATCTTAAAGATATTTTAGAGTTTAATCAAAATGCTATATCCTCCTTCTCAGAGTGGCAAGGCTTCCACCTCTGCTGAAAAAAATCATTTTTTCCTAAGTGCTTCCATAGCAAATTCATTACATTTAAAAATCATAGTAGTTGTTCTGTTCTGCATCTTATAATTGTTTACTCATCTGTTTGTAAGAGTCTTAAGGCCACTCTGTCTTTCTTGCACAAAGCAAGTATTACATTGTATCCTAAGGAATGAAAGAGAGCCTTAAAAGCAAAAAACTAAGTAGTAGAACAAAGCAGTAGAGAGAGACCATCTTAGAGTTTGCATAAGGTGGAACACAGTTACTTTAAAGTCTTTTTTGGTTCAGGCAATCTAAGATTGGGTTGAAAAATAGGTTTCCTCTTGTTTGGTGAATCTGATAGAATACTACGTTGAGAAGGGTTCTGAGGCCACATATTTACTCCATGAGAAAGCCAGCCATTAGATAATAAGATGTTGGAATGTCTCAGGTATTGTGATAGTTTTGGCTAAATGTGTGCAGTATTTTGAAACAACAGCTAACAAGTACATAACACATGTCAGGCAGTGTTCCAAGCATGATGCACATATCAAATCATTTACTTCCCCTGACAATGCATTGAGGTAAGTTCTATTAATATCCTCTTTATGTAGGGAAACCAGGGCACAGAGAAGTTAAGAAACATGCTCAAGTCACACAGCTGGTAATTTCGGCTCTAGAGTTTGTGCTCTTGGTCCCTGTTATACTGTCCTCATATTGAACATTTAATGTTTCAGAAAAATTGAGGTAGTTAGCTCACATAGCTATACCTTTAAAGTGTGGAAGGGACAAACAAAATAAACTTGTTGCTTGTTAATATAATGGTCCAAACTTCCCAACTTCTGCCTTAGATTAATCTTTCATGATTCTTACAGTTATGTGTGATCCTTTGTGTTTTCTTTCTTTAGGGTCCCTTGCCAGCTCCATTTTTGACCCACTCAGATATCTTGTGGGTGCTTCGGGAGGAGTCTATGCTCTGATGGGAGGCTATTTTATGAATGTTCTGGTGGTAAGAACTTTGGGAATGGGATCTATGGATTTTTTTTCTTTTAAAGAATAACTGGTATTTGGATCAGGGAAGCTTCATCATATTTACTGAGCACTCATCTTCCTTCTGGGCACCAGAATTTTCCTTTCATATTTTATCATTATTTTTTTTTCCTGATCTCAAAAGTGATGAATACCCAAAAAAATTTTTTTAAGTTGAAAAATAGTCAAAATCTCAAATATAGTATCTGTTAACAGTTTGATATACATCCTTTCGACCTTTTTCTAGATGTATTCAAAATCCTGCCAAAATTAAGGCTACAAAAACGGACCCGCTAGTTTTTAAAGATACTGTTCTACATCTTTTTTTTTTTTTTTAAGATTTTATTTATTTGACAGAGCACAAGCAGAAGGAGAGAGAGGGAAAAGCGGGCTCCCTGCTGAGCAAGGAGCCCAACGCAACACTCGATCCCAGGACCCTGGGATCATGACCTGGGCTGAAGGCAGCTGCTTAACCGACTGAGCCACCCCGGCGCCCCTATACTGTTCTACAACCTAACATAGAGTTATCTTGACTCCATCTACCCATATCACTACACAGAAATCCATTTCAGTCTCTTCAAGTGCCCCACAGCACATTATATAGCTGTACCCTGATTTAATCCTTCAATGAAAAAAAAATTGGGCTGACTTCATCTATTCACACTTGTGGATAATGCTGTAAGGATGTTCTCTTACATTTATCTTTTTGAATTCGTGTGTGTGTGTTGATAGGATAAATTCCTAGAAGTGGATTTACTGGGTGAAGGCTTTAAATTTTCATAGATAAATGCCAAATTGCCCTCCAAAGTTGGCATACCATTTTATACGCCCATGATATAGTATGTAAGAATGTCAACCACTTTTTAAAACGGCCTATAGTGTTAAATCCTGACTAGTTCTTAAACCCTTTAATCATATAGGTATACTTTAAAAATATTCTAGGAGGAAAATATGAAGCAATTACAAAACTATTCCAAGAATAGAAGCTATTTAGAAAAATGTTTTTCAAACTCTGGATTGCAACCCATTAGTGGTTGTGAACACAGTTTAAGGAATTGTGACCAAAAATTAAACAAAAAGAGGGCACCTGGCGGGCTCAGTAGGCAGAGCATGCTACTCTTAATCTTGGGGTCTTGAGTTCAAGCCCCATATTGGGCATGGAGCCTACTTAAAGTAAGAAAAAATTTAAAAAAAATTAAAAAGAAAAAATTTAAAAAGTTTCAGTATGTATCACATGTAATACTGTTTGACTTACGTGTATACTGGATTTTTATATAAATGGTTTCTTACTGTAGGTTGTGACCACAACAGTTTAAAAATAATTGATTTAGAACAAATATGGGTTTTTCAGTGTCTTTTCTCTTTGGGAAGAGAGTTAATAAAGTGAAAGGGAAGGGAGAAATAACTCAGTAAAGTGGAGATGTCTTTCTGACTCAGTTTTTTTTTTTTTTTGAAGATTTATTTGATTTTTTTTTTTGAAGATTTTACTTATTTATTTGACAAAGAGAGACACAGCGAGAGAGGGAACACAAGCTGGGGGAGTGGGAGAGGGAGAAGCAGGCTTCCCACCAAGCAGGGAGCCCGATGCGGGGCTCGACCCCAGGACCCCAGGATCATGACCTGAGCCGAAGGCAGATGCTTAACGACTAAGCCACCCAGGCACCCCCCCCCTTATTTATTTATTTGAGAGAGAGAAAGAGATAGAGAGAGGACATGAGCTGGGGGGGGAGGGGCAGAGGGAGAGGGAGAAGCAGACTCCCCACTGAGCAGGGAGCCTAATGGGCGGCTTGATCCCAGGACCCCAAGATCACGACCTGAGCTGAAGGCAGACATGACTGAGCCACCCAGGTGCCCCTGACTTAGGAGTCCTTTAGTAACCCAGGAGGGTACTGTAAGCTGGACTGAGATTTTTTTTTTTAAACATTTTATTTATTTATTTGACAGAGGGAGAGGGAGATAGTGAGAGAGAGCGAGCACAAGCGGGGGAGTGGCAGGCAGGCAGAGGGAGAGGGAGAAGCAGGCTCCCTGCTGAGCAAGGAGCCCGACGTGGGACTCGATTCCAGGACCCTGGGATCACGACCTGAGCCGAAGGCAGCCGCTTCACCGACTGAGCCACCCAGGCGCCCCGAGATTTTCTTTTTAAAAGATTTATTTATTTATTTTGGAGAGAGAGAGAGAGAAAGAACAGGGGGCGGGGCAGAGGGAGAGAGAATCTCAAGCAGACTCCCCTGCTGAGCACAGAGCCGCACACAGAGCTTGATCTCACAACCCCAAGATCATGTATGGCCTGAGCTGAAATCAAGAGTTGAACACCCAACTGACTGAGACAGTCAGGTGCCCCTGGACTGAGATTTTTCAAAGCTAAAATGAAACTTTATTTTTTTACCAATATTTTAAATTTTTTTGAAATTATCTAAAAGAATACCCAAATTTTAACTAACTCCTGTTTGGAAAGAGGATAAAGTATTGAATGAATATTAACCAAAAAAACCTTAGAAATATTTCATCAGACTTAGTTTGACAGTATCTATCTATCTATCTATCATCTATCTATTTCTATGACATGTTAAGTATTGATTTCATATTACTGATATTTAGATTTTTTTCCTGCTAATACAATTATGTCTAGTTCATATCATGAAATTAAATACTGATTTTGTTCTCTAAAGTGCAACAGCGTTGTACTTCCCAAATACACTTGAAAACTGGGCTGCAACAGTATTGCTTTATTTTGTAAATATTTGACACTCAAACTATCTTCAGATGAAGAGAGTACAGTCGAGGGTTCATTTGCCAATAGATAGCTTATATTATTATTTATCTCTTTGCAAGAATTTTCGAGAAATGATTCCTGCCTTGGGGATTGTCAGACTACTGATCATCATCCTCATAAGTAAGTTTGTTTTGTGAGCCCTTTGCACCTATCACTTTATCGGTCTGACCTCTAGAGGGCCTCACTCTTCCTAAACACTAGCCTGGAGTGACAAAGAATTGTGGCTCCATAGCCCTAAGCAGAAAGGTAAGTGGAAGGGTTTTCACAGACCCCCGTGGGTGGTTTTTAGAGGTGCCTCAGGAATTTTTTGCTTTTTGTTTCTTTCTGCAGTGCGGGAAGTCAAGAGAGTAGAGCTTTAGGTACTCTGTCTACTTTAACCACAATAGCTTCACTTATGTTTCCTCATTGATACATTGGATTCTGGGTTGTTCTCATTCATACAATGGACTCTGTATATGACTTTTTCTGAAATGGGGAAAGCTTGAAAACCACTGACATAATCTATTTTCTTCCTCAACTTCTACATTTTCGGATTTAAAAAAAAACTGATCTAGGATCTAAGCATGGAGTGATGGCTGAGGGTTGAAGACAGGAGCAGAGGGTGAAGGAATGGAGAGGTCAAGGAACTAGCAGGATGGCGAATGTGGCTTTTGAAATCTCCAAGAATTATAGCAGAGAATTACATGCTGAAGGAATTTAGGAAGAGTGCTCAATCTGGAGAGGAGGCGGAACTTTAGCTGAGTCTGAACGTCATGGGAGATTTTGGGTGGTGGCAGGCCACATTGGGTAGAAGAAAAAGGAGCTAAGGCCGGACTGGTAACTCGTGTTTCTGGACCTGCTCCGGCGGAAGCTGCAGTCGCACGGAGCGGGTGGGGAGAAGGCAGACCCTGGGGTCAGACGGTAGGGTCGCATCTGAAGGCCAAGATGGAGGTGATACTTGATAAAACCTAAGACTTCGGCTGTCCACATGGTAAGAAGAAATGGTCCTGCTAATTGGTATCAAGAGTTCAATTATCTGCATTGCTGGGAATAGGGCCAACTACCTCTGAGGAAAGAGACTAAATCAGTCTCTTTCCAGTTTATGGACAGTTTAGCAGTAAGAACAGTATTTCATCCTGAGAGAAGATAAGTGACTTGTTTATAGGTTACACATACTCTCTGTAATATTTTTGTCCATAAGAAATTGAAAATGTGAGGGAAAGTTGTGAGCATAGAAAGGAGAGCAAGTGTCTGGGGTTAGGGAGGAGAGTCACTGGGGCGCAGAACTGCCACCTGGGCTGTTAAGCGTAACAACCGGGACCAAGGGACAAGTCCCATGACCAAAACATGTTGCTACACACAAGTTACCTGGTTTTCGATCTGTTTCCTTTAGGACAATTATGAATGACTTTGTAAAATGACCCCAAACCCTTGATGGGGAAATGGTTTTAATAATCTTCAATGTTGGAGTAAAAACCCTTTCCTTATGCACAGGGAGTCTCCAAAAATAGTTTATCTAACATTACGTCATTCCTGAGGTAAGTAATAAAGTCACTTTATTTTACAGAGTAGCTAAGACCCGTTAACATTAACCTTCCCCACTCCCTGGCATGGGCCATTTCTAAACGTTCTTTGTTCTGGTTTACCTACTGTTGAAGATGAGGCAAGTTACAACACACGCCAGGTTAACAAAATACAAGTATATTTTTAGTTTAAACACATTTCCTTGGGAAAGTGTATAGGTAAAAAAAGGTAAATTATTATTCTTAATTATGAAGGACAATTGGCCTGAAGGACCTTCCTTCATGAAGCATTCTTGTTGGATGTGTCTACTAACAAAGCAACTGAGCTTCCTTTTTGAAAGAGGAAATCTCACATGTTCACCCTTCAAAAAAAATCCACATAAAGGCAACTCTCTTAAAATCAGTGTCAAATTTTTAGCAAGGACAATAACTTGGTTTATTGGGAGGGAAAACATGTCTCAGTGTGGCTACTGCAGCAGACATAGAAGCAAACTCCCCCAAGGAAGCAGAAGGAGCCAGGCAGAGATATGTAGAAAGGGCATGATCAGAGAGAAAGAGGTTGGAGGAATGGACGTGGTAAGGGTTACAAGAACTTTTTGAAAGGAGGCCTCCTCCTCTGGATGACTACGCCAGAGTAACTGTTTCCAGTAAGAACTTTCCTAGTTCTGTCTGTGTGTTATTTATTTATTTATTTATTTATTTTTTAAAAGATTTTATTTATTTGAGACAGAGAGAATGAGAGATAGAGAGCACGAGAGGGAAGAGGGTCAGAGGGAGAAGCAGACTCCCCGCTGAGCAGGGAGCCCGATGTGGGACTTGATCCCGGGACTCCAGGATCATGACCTGAGCCGAAGGCAGTCGCCCAACCAACTGAGCCACCCAGGCGCCCTGTGTGTTATTTATTTACGCTGGATTAGGAAATACAAATGATGACTGAAAATACAACACAACCACATTTATCCAGCATGTTGTGTAATAGTCATTCACAGTTAAATTAATATTGAATACTTCCTCGACCTCAATTCCTGTCTAGTCACTTGGACATCAATCAATACAGTATTGAAAGGGAAACTAGCCACAACACAGGGTCCTGATGCTATTTTCCCAAAGGCAAGGACTAGGTCTTCCCATCTCTGGGGACACAGTGGCTCACTAAGTGGAGCACAGGGAGTTGGGGGATGGCTGTGGAATGTGACAGCTACACGAGATGTTTCCAAGTGCAGGGCACATGGAGGGCGGAGTTCTTCTAGGCCACGAAACCCCGGAAGCTCCTTTTGCATCATGGATCTGACTTATTGGAAGAAGGTCTGAGTTCTGGCTCTCACTGTTCCATTGGAGAATGTGGACTCATCTCCTTACTTGGCCCATCATCAGTACTCTGGTGGTACTTCGAGGCAGTTAGTGTGGTAGGTGAGAGGGGCGCTCACATAGCCAGACTTCTTAAGGTTCAAATCTTGCCCCTGCATCTGAGCTGTGTGGTCTTGGACAAGTACTTACCCTCTGTGTTTTGGTTTCCTTGTGGATAAGATGCCACCGTCATTCCTCACTTGGATTGGTGCCATATTGTTGATCTAGCTGGTCTTCTGCTCCTGTCCTTGCTCCCTTACATTCCTTCCTGTATAGCGGCCAGAATGATCTTTTAAAAGCATAAGTTGAATCATGTCACTCAAAAGCTTTCAAAGGTTTGTGCTCAAAAGCTTTCAAAGGCTTCCTACCACTTGGAGTCAAAGTCCTTACAGTGGCCCATAAAGCCCCTACGTGATTTGTCCCCTGCTCCTCGCCTATCATTTTATCCCTAACTGTAGTCCAGAATCACCTGGAGGTCTTGTTAAAACACAGACTTCTGAGCCTCATCTTCAGAGTTTCTAGTACAAGTCTGGGGTGGGCCTGAGAAGTTTAATTTCTAGTAAGGTGAATGTTACTGTTGCTCTTGGAGGGGCAGGGAGTCACACTTTGAAAACCACCCATCCAGCCAGTGCAGCTGCTCTGGTCTTCCTGCAGCACACTGGGCACTTTCCTGCCTCAGGGACTTTGCACTTGGCTCTTCCCTCTGCCTGGAAGACTCTTACTTCAGATGTCAGCATTGCTTGCTCTCTTATCTCCACCATATGTCATATTCTCAGTGAGATTGTCCCTGACTCTATTAAAAATCATACCCTACTCCCAGCATTCCTAATCCTCCTTCCTTTCTCTGCATCTTGTCCATTTGCTGTACTGTATGTTTTATGTTTTACTAATTTGTTTGTGAGCTTCCCCCAACAGACCATCAGCTCCATGAGGCAGGGCTGTCTCATCTGTTCACTGCAGTATCTCCACCACCTAGAACAGTGCCTGGCGCACAGAAGATAACCACTCAATACATGTGGGACGAATAAATCTGTCAAGTGGGATGATAATACTCATTTCATAGGGTCCTCGTGAGGATTAGTGAATTGATACTCATAAAGCTCTTACAGTAGCACCTGGTACAGAGTGTCCATAATGTTAGTTGCTAACTCCATAAATGTTAGTTGCTACCATGACTAGAAGAGAACCCAAAACATCTGGTGCATGGTTGTGGCAATCCTGGGGCTTCATCAGCTTGTTTTTCTTTCTAGTTTTGTCGGATATGGGATTTGCTCTCTACAGAAGGTTCTTTGTCCCTGCAAACGGGTCGCCGGTGAGTTATTATTTTTTCAACAAGAACTTGTTTACCTATCATACCAATAGATAAAAAGGGTCATTGAATAGGGGCAATAAGTCTGTGATTTAGGGCAGCCAGATTTCCATTTGGAAGATAAACAAATTCCTGAGGAAATCAGACTTTTGGATTGTCCTTTTCACTTAACTCTCTCAGAGCCCTGTCGTCGGCTCTATTTCTTTGCACCTGCCCTCCTGGTGGCTCCTGGGAGCAAAACAGGAGAGAAGGGATTTCACTGTCCACAGAGAATAAAAAGCAGATTGGAAAACAGCAATGAAAATTTGGGTCCAGATGAATTTGCAGGATTAAAAAAAAAAACTGACCGACATTTCCAGTTTTGTTATTAGTCTTTGAATTGGGTAGTTTGTTTGCATATTTGTGTGTATACGTCAGCTGTGTTTTCATCCTGACATTCCATTTATGTGGGGTCAGACACGGCTCCCACAGAGATCCCTTGTGGTAATGCAACACATTCTCTTGACATATAGAACCATCCAGAATGTGATGGTGACAGAGAATGAGAAACAATGGCTTGGTCCTGTGCACTCGGAGAGTTGATGAAATGACATTTTTTAGCTCTGCATGTTTTCAGAACATCTCCTCTCTGTGCACATGGGAGTTTTGTGTCTCTTTTGCTTCACCTCCTTGTCCTTCAGGCTTTTAAGACTCTTGTTTGACTCTGATGGCATTTGTGTTTTAGGAAGAGGGATGCAACTAAAATATACAATTAGCATTTTCTTCACTTATTTTCATTTCTCTTTTCCTCCCAAGGTGTCTTTTGCAGCCCACATTGCAGGTGGATTCGCTGGAATGTCCATAGGTTACACTGTGTTTAGCTGCTTTGATCAGGCACTGCTGAAGGATCCGAGATTTTGGATAGCAATTGCAGCTTATTTTGCTTGTGTCTTATTTGCCGTGTTTTTCAACATTTTCCTCTCCCCAGCAAACTGACCTGCCTCTAATATAAACCAAGTAATGCAAAGAGCCATCTGGGAAAAAACTGAAGTCTATGAAGAGACAAAGAAGTCCTTGCAAATGCTAACCTCTTTTTTTAAAGAGGTCAGAACACGACTGAAGTCCTCAGTTGCAAAGACTGTTTACAAAAGGGGTTACGGTTTAGGTAAGGGGCTTCTGAATGCAGAGGGAGGGAAAAGGAGGAGAGAAAAGGGGAGGGATGGAAAAAGCAGGATTGGCTCTTTCCAGACATGTGGTGTGCATTGTAGGGATCCTCTAAGAGACTTGCTCTCCTTGGAGGATATATTGTAGGGACTGCTTGATAGAATCTACAAATACTGTACTGTTCTGATAATAAAAACTTTTCATACCTGTGCCAGACTATTGATAATCACTTTCTATCACTGTTGGGGTGGACAGATCACTGAGGTGCTTTATATACATTATTGTTAATCTTTTCAACAACCCAGAAAGGTAGCTATTACTCTGTATCTAGAGAGGACGACATGAAAACTCATTTAAAAAAAAATCAAGTAACTTGTCTAAGAGGGCACAGGATTTAAAGGTTGGTAATGACTCGAAAGTCCACATTCTCCTCCCCTACTGGTCTACTGAGGCTATGTTCCCCAAATACTGAAAGCTGAGAGTATCATGGGAGTATAGGAACAAACATTTCTGTGAGTGCGCTATAAATGGTAGAAGTATCTTATAAAAGAAGACTGAAAATTTTCTGGACTGCCAGTCTAAGATTCTAGAAGTGTGTCTAGGATCCCAAGGAACCTAGAACTAGCTTTCTGGTGCATACCAGGTACCTGGACTCTGGTTTCTCATTCTTTACATGGCTAGTGGCTCTCCTGGGAGTGGGTAGGATTTATTTACATAAGGTAAAATGTCAAACCTGAAAGCTGAGAAGCCTGTCTCCTTTCTTATTATAGAACCTAGATTGTTGGCTTTTTTTTTTTTTTTAAGTAGGCTCCATATCTGGGAGCCTGGGTGGCTCACTCTTGATTTTGGCTCAGGTCATGATCTCAGGGTCTCAGGATTGTGGGTTTTAACAGGATAAATGAGATTATACTACACATGTTGCTAACTTGCTTTACAATGTGACGCTAGAGACCTTCATTCTCTGAGTTGCCGGACAATAAATATGTACTGTGGTTATTTAATCACAGCTCTACTGGACACTGTTGATTTTGTACTATTATCAACAGTGCTATGTGCACTTCCTAGTACGTGTTGGGTGCCTTTGAGTATGTTTGCGGAATGAATATTTTAAGCATCCACAAGCAGAAATGCTGCTAATTTTGATAGATTTAAACTGCCTTTTAAGTAGTGCATCCATTTATATTCTTACTGACAGTAGATGTTAGTAAGTTTCCTTATACTTTTGCCAAAAGCAGGTATTGTAAATCTTTGAAAAATCTGCATTTTGATAGTTAAAAAATAATACTTCATTTAAATTTGTATTTGTCTAACTACTGAGACTTAGTGTTTTTCAAGTTTATTAATAATTTATGTATAATTTATATATTACACATATGTAATTTATATAATATACAAATATAAATATATATGTATAATTTTTTCCCTGTGAAATAGTTGCATTTAATCTGAAAAGTATCTATTAATTGGCAAAGAGCCCAGAGAAGGGGTGTCTGGCTGGCCTAGTCTGTAGAGCATGTCACTCTTGATCTCAGGGTTGTAAGCTCGAGCTTCATGTTGGGGAGTAGAGATTACTTAAAAATAAAAAATCTTAAGGAAAAAAAAAAAAGCCCAGAGAAGAAACAGTCATCTGTCATGTCCAACCCATCAGGTCACTAGCTCTGAAGAGAGACCTTTAATGACTTAAACAGAAATGTAATTGTTCATAACAGAAAACTAGAGAGAGAAACAGAATTCATCTAATTATGAAACTGTTTTTAGGGGCGCCTGGGTGGCTCAGTTGGTTGAGCGACTGCCTTCAGCTCAGGTCATGATCCTGGAGTCCCGGGATCGAGCCCCACATCAGGCTCCCTGCTCAGCAGGGAGTTTGCTTCTCCCTCTGACCCTCCCGCCTCTCATTCTCTCTCTCTCTCAAATAAATAAATAAAAAACTGTTTTTAGTCAGAAAGAGTTTTTGGTACTAGAAATGTGGTTCACATTACCCAAAACAGTGATATCTAATTGGGTTCCCCAGGGGGCAAAATTACTGTAAAAAAAAAAAAGCATACAAACATCTGGTGTTTTAAATTTGATGTCTGAATTATAGAAGAACCATCTATTCAGCTTAATTTGGGGCTCATAACTTTAGTCTTCTAAACTGCTGTGTTATTAGAAATATTGGAAATATTCTTTATTTGTCCCATCTAATAAAGTAGCCACAAGGCACATGCAGCTCTTAAATTTTAATTCAAATTAAGTAAGATAAAAAAAACTCAGTTCCTGTGTTACACAAGTCATGATGCAAGTGCCCAATGGCTCTATGTAGCTAGTGGCTACCTTACTGGACAGTGCAGACAGAGTCTTTCAACACTGTTGCAAAAGTTCTATTGGACAGAGTGGTTTTAGAAGCACGAACAATGAGCACAAATGGATTTTAGCTGATGGCTGACTCACTGCACTGAATTGAACTGCTCTATACCTGCAAAGGGACACCTTCAGAGAACAAGCATGATTTGCCTCTCAGATTTATCTAAACAGGTTTGTGTTAATCTCTGTTTTAGCAAATTAAGAAAGAGTTGTTTGAAATGTTTTTATTTTTTGCTTTTTGAATTCTATGGGATTGAGTCTAGGTAGACTAGTATTCATGTCATTTATGAAAGCTTCAGAACCTAAGATTTGTAGCTAAATAATTTACTGCTCCTTCTTTCAGGAAATACTATGCTTTTGTACCTTAAGGAAAAAAATTATTATTTTTTGTGATTATAGAAGTGCTCATGGTAAAAACAAATTAAAATACATATAATTATAAAAAAATAAGTCAATTGTAATCACAACACCCAGAGATTACCATAGTTAATATCTTGATGAATTTCCTTCTAGGCTTTTTTGTATGCATCTCTTCATATAAACAAATATATAATTATGGGGTCATACTGTTCTGTTTTATAAACTGAAACAATATATTAAATGTCTTTTTATATTAGTATTTATTTATCATTTTTACTGGTTGCATAGTACCATACTATGGATGCACTATTATTTATTAAGAACAATACTGTCTTTCTTGTATTGATAATTATTTTGGACAGTTTCAATTTGTGATTATTATAAACAACATGAATGATACCATTGCTTACACTTTAAAGTGTTTTGGATTGTTGGATCAAAGAATATATTATTATTAACATAATAAAGTTAAATAGAAATTTTCTCTCAGAAATACAACTAAATTTTAGAAGGTTGATGCTTTTGTAAATCTTTTCAAGTGAATGAAGCTTTAGAAAAGGAACTAAAGACTTTAGAATCAGTTATTTAAAAAGCCCAAACTATCACTATTTGACATACCTAATTTAAATAAAGAGAAAACAGATGATTTCCTAATGTTTCTTTCATGCAAATCTTAAGTGCACCCAAAGAGGAAAAATAAGTTTAGTAGAATAGGACCTGACTTTAGAGCCACACTGATTTTCAATGTCAGTTCCAAGTGTGTGACCTTTGGTAATTTAAAGATTTTATTTATTTATTTGGTGGGGGAAGGGCAGAGGAAGAGGGAGAGAGAGAGTCCCAAGCAGACTCTGCGCTCAGTGCGGAGCTGGACATGAGGCTTGAACCCACAACACTGAGATCATGACCTGAGCCAAAATCAAGAGCTGGATGTTTAGCCAACTGAGCCACCCAGCTGCCTCAACCTTGGATAATTTAGGTGTGCCTCAGTTTCCTCATCTGTAAACTGGGGAAACAACATACATAACTCATAAGACTTTTGTGATGAACATATCATTTAGCTATAGTATCCCAGTATTGTATTTTTTTTTTTTTAAGATTTTATTTATTTATTTGAGAGGGAGAGAATGAGAGATAGAGAGCACGAGAGGGAAGAGGGTCAGAGGGAGAAGCAGACTCCCTGCTGAGCAGGGAGCCCGATGCGGGACTCGATCCCGGGACTCCAGGATCATGACCTGAGCTGAAGGCAGTCGCTTAACCAACTGAGCCACCCAGGCGCCCCTCCCAGTATTGTATTTAATTGTGTAACATTTCCCTTTATATAAGGGATATAGAACACATATTGATATTTTGAATGAAAGTTATGAAAACATTTCTCTTTTTATCTTACCTGTGGGATATATTTCCTCTTAGATACATTAGGGTATCTACCTTAATATGGAATGTACTGCTTGATAATCCAAGCATCTAAATTATAACTAGCCTGACTGTTCCTTCCAAAAAAGCAAGCTATGTGTCTTAAATAGGTCAAATATTGTTACAATGAAAATATCTATAATGCCACCACCACAAGAGCCATCTGTTTATGTCAAGAACTATATAAAAACATTCTGCTAATACAAAAATAGTTGAGAATTTTTGGAGTTTTTTTTTTTATCTTGAAGTTCTATTTTTTTAATTTAAGATTTACTTAGTTAACTGGAGTTCATTTTAAGATGATAAAAATGTACACAATTTTTCATAGATAATTCAGAATTTTATGAATATTAATATTACTGAAATTTCTGATTTCTAAAAAGGCTCAACAACTGCCAGAAAGCCAACAGAATTTAGACATTTAAATGTGGATTAAAAAACAAATCTAAATTCTTATATCAAGAGCCAGATCTGTTTCCTCTGATTTCATTAAATGCTGTATCTTACTGAATTATCAAATGAAACACATTTTCCTTTGTGTATAAATGAAATTTTAAAATCACTGACTTTGGTTATAGTTTTTATATAATCTTAATAAAGAGGTTTGTAAGATCATGTCAGTAGTTTTAGGAACCTCTCCAAAAGTTCTCAGTTAAACAAAGTAAAACAGTAATAAACTTCAGCTAACAATAACAAGACTCCTTTCTCATAGGGAATCCTACAGTTTTTAATTTTTATTTACTTATTTTAAGTAATCTCTGCACCCAATATAGGGCTTGAACTCACAACCCCGAGTTCAAGAGTCACATGCTCTTCTGACTGAGCCAGCCAAGCCACCCATCTACAGTTCTGTTCTTCATAGAGAATATATACAACCCCTCCTCCAGGTATCTTTTTTTCTTTTTAAAGATTTTATTTATTGATTTGAGAGAGAGCGAGAGAGAGCATGAGCTGGGGCAGAGGGAGAGAGAGAAGCAGACTCTCTGCTGAGCAGGGAGCCTGCCACAGGGCTTGATTCCAGGACCCTGGGATCATGACCTGAGCAGAAGGCAGATGCTTAACTGAGCCACCCAGGTGCCCCTCTTTTTTTTTCTTCATTACATTATGAGGTCTAAACATAAGTGACTGTAAATTCCTGGTATCTTTTTTTTTTTTTTAAGATTTTATTTGAGAGAGAGAGAGTGCACACACAAATGGGGGCAGAGGGAGAGGGAGACGCAGACTCCCCGTTGAGCCGGGAGCCCCATGCGGGGCTCGATCTCAGGACCCCGGGACCATGACCTGAGCCGAAGGCAGATGCTTAACCAACTGAGCCACCCAGGCGCCCCTAAATTCCTGGTATCTTAAATATATCCTTGGTGAGATTATCACAGTTCTCTAGGGAAAAAGTAGAGCAACCAGCACATGAAGAGAGTGATGCTTTGTTCATGTTTTGGCCATAGGTTTGCTTTACGAAATAGCACGCCCTTCAGAATGGAAGAATTTATCTGTCTCCTATTTGATGGGGTTCAGAGTGAAGCTGGCTGACTAAATAAACATGGGGAACTGGAATTTCCTTGGAGGCATCCCGGAGGAAGTTCACATCCACTCCACCATCATTGGAAAGATCTGGCTCACTATCCTGTTCATATTTCGAATGCTTGTTCTGGGTGTAGCAGCTGAGGATGTCTGGAATGATGAGCAGTCCAGCTTCATCTGTAATACAGAACAACCCGGCTGCAGAAATGTGTGCTACGACCAGGCCTTTCCTATCTCCCTCATTAGATACTGGGTTTTGCAGGTGATATTTGTGTCTTCACCATCCCTGGTCTATATCGGCCATGCTTTGTACCGACTGAGGGTTCTGGAGAAAGAGAGGCAGAGGAGGAAAGCTCAACTGAGAGGGGCCCTGGAGGGTGTGGAGTTTGAAATACCTGGGGACCGGAGGAGACTGCAGCAAGAACTTTGTCAGCTGGAACAAAGGAAACTAAATAAAGCTCCACTCAGAGGAACCCTGCTTTGCACTTACGTGGTACACATTTTCACTCGCTCCGTGGTTGAGGTGGGGTTCATGATTGGACAGTATCTTTTATATGGATTTCATTTAGAGCCTTTAGTTAAATGCCATGGCCACCCGTGTCCAAATATAATTGATTGTTTTGTGTCAAGACCAACAGAAAAGACAATATTCCTATTATTTATGCAATCTATAGCCACTGTTTCTCTTTTCTTAAATGTTCTAGAAATTTTCCACCTAGGTTTTAAAAAGATTAAAAGAGGGCTTTGGGGACAATATAAATGGAAGGATGAGCATAATGAATTCTTTGCGAACAAGTCGAAACAAAATCATGCCAGATATCAGAGCACCTCTGCAAATTCACTGAAGAGACTCTCTTCTGCACCTGATTATTATCTGTTAATGGAAAAGCAAAAACACACAGCAGTGTGCCCTATTTTAAATTCACCCGCATTTCAGGCAGATCCTGACAATCACAATGGAAATGATGAGAAATGCATTTTGGATGAATAAGAAACTGTACTTTCTGATGAGATGTGGACACGTAGCGCTACCTGTAGTCATCTTCAACACATCAGCTCATATAATAATGAAGACACTCATAAAATATTTAGAAAAGAAGTGGGTAGCCCATTAAGGGAAAAAAGAGAAATTGATGGCAAAGACAGCAAAAGGAACCACTGCTCTAGATGTCACTGTTCTATTCCAGGTGTTGCTATAGATCTGGACAACCACATGGGGCAGTCATCCCAAACAGCTTTCGCTCCGCCTGCTAACTGTGCCTGGGAACAGTTGTGGCTTAGATCTACATGCTGTCCCTCTATGGAAGATGAAAATCAGGTGTCACCTCCTAAAGGAAACGTCAAGGGCCAGTTCAGAGAGGGCACAATTAGCACCCTGCCTCCTTTACTGGGAAACTGCCAACCGCTTCACATTCCAGACACTCCTGATTCTTTGGGACAGTTGTCCTTTGAATCTGATTTGGCCAGAATCTGCAATAATCCTGCTGCTTGTCCTCCAAATCATTTGGTCTTGCTGACAAATAACCTCACTGGTAGGCGGACTCCCACAGACCTTCAGATCTGAACTGCTTTAGGCTTCTAGACATTCTGCATATTATGTTATCATAGAAGTAGCCTAGTGGTGATGGAGCACACGCATGACAAGGGCAGCTCTAAAGACCAGGTGTTACAGGCAGAAAATTGCAAACCCATTTCAAAAAGGAAAAACAGATTAATTCTGAATGGTGAAGGGGCAGTTTTAAATTCAAAGACATAGTTACCAAGTATCAGGATTACTTTTTCACAGGCTCCCTTCAGAATTCATGAAAACTGATTCTGGGAAAGTCACATGTTTAGAATCGAGGCTTAATGGTTTGGAAACAGGTTTTTCCTTGAAGGGAGTACAGCTTTAGGAGATTCTCTTTGTTCTACATAATTCTCTCTTTTAGTTGCTAATCTTTTATTTCTGCACAATGTTTAAATTGTTTGTTCCTGGGACTTAATTTAGTTTCCTTATTGACTGCAACCTGATGTCTCTTGAGTATAATGATAATGTTGCTGTCTAGTAAATAAAATCTTAAAAAGATTGATGGCTTTATAGCATCGTGATTTTAGTGCCCAGATTGGAATTGCAGCTCTACCCTCCCTGGTCCTCTAACTTCGCCACTTTATTAACGGCGCCGACCTTACAGGGATAGCATGAGAATTAAAAAAGACACGTGTTTAGTACAGTGCCTGGCACACGGTAAGCGCTCAAAAGCTTAGCACGTTATTGCTCACCCCCTCCAGAGGCCCCTATCAAGCCCGCCACAAAACAAACTCCAAAAGTAAAAGCTGGAGCGGAAACATAACGATTCTAAGCACTCCTCTCAAGACACTGCATACCCAAGGGTCGCCCTGCGTCGGTCGTGCGCACCTTTTCAAGATGAGAGCCAAGAAGCCAGCACATATAGGTTGCCACACCTAATGAGGTCCCAGTTGAGACAGGTAGGCTCCAGACCGGTGCCCGAAGATCACACCCTGCTACAGTCCTAGTACTATCTGCCTCCGCAGGCCCTGCCCCCTGGCGCCACGCCCATCTTTGGCCCCACCTGGACACTAGTCCGGAGTTAGCAAAACCTCGCCTCTCGCTCAGCAACCGAAACACTGCAAAGACCGGAAGAGGAAGGAGAGGTGCGCTCCGGGAGCAGAGAGGCGGGTGTACGCAGCCTCCTTCGACTTACCCCACTATGGGGCACTCAGAGCGTCCTGGTTGTCATGAAAACAGGCCACATCCCTGCGATCTCGGACCGTGGTTCGCAAGTGCGCAGGCGCGCGCGCCCTTCCGCGCATGAGCAGTGCTGCTCAGAGCCCGCCAGCCACGGTCTCGGGCGCCAGCTACGCCGCTGCCGCTGTCACTATGGCCCATTACAAAGTGAGGGGGGCGCGGCGTGGCTGGGGGCTTGCGGGCGGTAGCCAGCCGCTGGTCGGCTCGGGGTGGGAGTGGGGGCGCGCGCGCAGATTTTGGGGGCCTGAGGTAGCGAGGCGGAGGCGGGGTTGCCGGACTCCCAGCGCCTTCTTCCTGCTCCGGCCCCTGGGCTTCGGCCACTGACCCGCCGTGTCTCCTCAGGCCGCCGACTCGAAGCGCGAGCAGTTCCGGAGGTACTTGGAGAAGTCGGGGGTGCTGGACACGCTGACCAAGGGTGAGCATGGGTTAGGAGAGGGTTCCTCGTGTCCACGCCGTGCTCCTCGGCGCTGCGCCCCTGACGGGCCAAGGCGTGGGGAAGGAGGGGGAACAGGTGGGAACTGTCTGGGGTCCAGCAAGGTGGGCCTCGGGATTCAGCAGGGACTGGCGCACGTCTGGCTGTCGGACGCCGCCCGAGTTGGGGTAGCCTCGCTCATGCTACCACTCTCCGGGCGGGGAGTGAAACTCTTGCAGCTGTTGCAAAGTCCCTCCAACTTCCGTTGCTTTGCCTCGAGCGGTCGCAGCGAGCATATTTGCTAAAGACCTTGAGATCCCAACTCCTCCCTCCTTAATTTTGGCGGAGTCAAAATTATGTAAAGAAGCATTTTCCCTCGAACAAAGGGCAAGTGGGAAAATTACCAGATTTCAAAATTGCCTATAAAATAAGTGAACTCAATCCCCAAAGTAGGCGATTCATAGTCAATTTGGCTGTGGTTTTTCAACCGTCGTTTCGTAGGCTATAGCAATTCCTGCTTTGTGCATATTTCATAAGTAGAATTACAGTTTAAAGAGCTTGAGGGCACATGAAAATGGTTATATTGTTTACACCTTTTAAGATGGAAGCTGTTACACTCTATCTCTTTCTCCAAGGGGGTTCAAAACCTAAGATGAGTAAGGAGCTTGAAACTGGAGAGTTCCAAGAGATAGTTGGGGTACTGTTTATTTCACTAGCTGAGCAATAATGTGAATGTCTGCTATGTATCATTCAACTCATTGGCTAGAACTTTCAAGGATATAGAACAGAAGAGCTGTCAGGGATGATGACTGGGTCCATGAGAAGTGTCTGGAAAATTATTTGGTAACTGCTCTTTGGCCAGAAGCAAAGGTTAGGAGAAAATTCTGGGAGAATAACTCTGGGTCTTAGCAGAAAGCAGGACTTTCAATTCCCATGCATGGGCTGATAATTTTGAATTGCTATCTACCTTAGGTTCAGATAATTTCCTTCTCTCTTTGCAATTAAATTTCAGCAAACATGACAGGAGTACTCTGTGAAAGTGCTGTGCTCTGTCCTCTCTTGAAGTGTCCTCTCTGCCCTCTCTTGAAGGGTTCCCCCCCCTTTAAAAAACTCCATGAGTTCATTTCTTTCATTTATTTCACCATTTTATTCAGGTCTCTGTTCTAGGCACTGGGGATACAGCAGTGGGGGAGAAAAAAAAAAGCCCCTGCTCTAAATAAGCTTATATTCTAGTTGGAGGAGACAGATAATAAATACATAGTGCCAGCCAGGGGGAAGTGTTATGAATAAAAATACGGCAAAGGGGATAGGATAAAGAGCAACGGGTGTGCCATTTATAAGGGGTAGTGGGGGAAGGTCTTTCTTGAAAGTAACATTTGAGCAGAGATCTGAATGAAATGTGATGTCAAGAGTTCCAGGAAGTGCAAGGAGCCCAGAGTGGCTGGATGGAGTAAAAGACAGAATGTTAAAAGGCAGAGAAGTGACCTTGGTGGGAGGTAACAGCCTTGTGGCCATACATGGATCTTCTTTCATGAGACTGGAAACCCCTGAAGGCTTCTTTTCCCTTGCTCACATATACTGGTATCTAACTCCTCAATCTCTGTAGATTTCCAGTATCCTAAATAATATCAGAGAACTTAACATAACGTCTCTACTGATGTGCGCTATTTAAAATTTGATTTTCAGCTTCAAACATGGGTACTTTACACATACTTAATTTATAATTTTAATACAGCGTATTTCCAAGAGGATCTGAAACTGCTTCTAACATTAAAACACTATAAGGATGGCTAAAGATAAAGATAAGTCATTTGGAAAAAGAAGCATTTGAGATATTTTGAGTACCATATCAACCTCTAAAAATCCCGCCTGCTAAGGCAAAAAGGGAAACACTGGCTATCGAGTTCTTGTCTGATAAAAAGGAAGTATATTTAATCTATAGAAAAGCACAGGAAACTGGACATTTACACATTATGTTCTGTAATTATCAACCTCATAGTACCACTGACAGAAATTTAGAAGCTGGAAGAAATGGGGTGGGGAAGAGGTAGAAAGGCTAATAAGAGTATTCATGTCTTATAAAGTTAGTTGGCAAAGATCAGTGGAAATTAATGGAAGAAGAAACAGGTTTGAGTATGTTATTTAAAGAAAAACATATTGAAAGGAGAGGGTGGTGGTGATGTAAATATACCAATTTCTCAAAAAATAGGGTTGTAAGTATACTTAGAAGAATAACTATTAGAACTCAGTGCGGGTTGTTAAAAAATCATTGCCATTTGATTTTTTCATACTGTCTATATTATTTTGATGAATTAAAACTAAAAAATAAAAAGCGTGTAAGTTTTGCAACAGATCTTAACGTGGAGTCTAGAGATGCACATTTTTTGTGTATAGTTACATTTTTTGGCTTTTGTCACTTTTCAAAGGGTTCCATGCACAAAAAATTTAACCACTGGTTTAGAGAGATTTTTATCTGAGTAGTAAATCCCAGGAGGAATTTGTTCAATAGAAGATGAGCAAGGTAGTGCTGACATAAGCTTTCGGATATAAACTAAAACATCTATTTTAATATTGATTTGAGCATGTTGATTACTGGTAAAGTTTTTGGTTGGTGGTTACTTAGCATGTTGTATATGAAACTATTCTTGAAGCACAGTTTGAATTCAAAGCTTCTTTCAGTAATTACCATAGCTCTGTTGTTTCTCTCCAAGATTTTTCTCAAATTTATCTACTTAGTTTTCACCCCCCATCGCTCTAGTGCAGGTTACTGTCTTTTTCAGCCGGATTTCTACACCTGCCTCTTAACTGTTCTTCCTTCCTTCATCCTTGTTCCATTCTGGATCTTCCACACAGCAGTCAAGAGTGATCCTGTCACTCTCCTGCTTAAAACTGTTTAATTATATGCCTGTTCTGAGGATCAAAGTCCAACCGAACTTGCAGGATCCTCCCTGGTCTGCGTCCTGACCACCTTGCCAGCTTCCTTCCCTGCCACATTGTTCACAGCTCCATCTAGCCATACTTGAATTTTCAGTTCCTCAATGTGTTGTTCTCTTGCCCTCCCCACACCCTCACCTTCCCATTTTATCTGAAACCCTCATAGCCAAGTCTCAGGTCTTATTTCCCCTTCGTTAGGGAGCCTTCCCTGGTGTTCTAGGCTGAGTTAGGTGTTCTTCCAATGTGCTCCCATAATCCATCATCCTGTATTGCTGCTTGATGCTTTTTTTTTTTTTTGTCTAGTTCTTTGCTTTTGCACTAGACTGTAAATTTGTTGAGAGCGGGGACCTTATCTCCCTTGTTTACCATGGTATGGCAGTCCTAGCAATGTGCTTGGTGTATAATAGGCATTTAATATTTACTGGGCTATATAATTTCAGTCATTCAAATTTAAGACTTTAATTGTTGTTTTCTGCTTTTTGATTTGCAGTATTGGTAGCCTTATATGAAGAACCAGAGAAACCTAATAGTGCTTTGGAGTATCCTTTTCATCTTTCAAGTCAGAAAAAGGACTTATCTTTGGAACTCTTATTTTTTCACATGGATAATATTTAAAATATTTTTGATGATTGAAAAAGTTACTTTCCTTTATGTTTTGCAATGATGATCTCTGGGTCAGTGTTGGTGGTAAGGTGGGGTGACCATGATCAGAGATATTGATACTACTCTGAGCTATTTCATTAGTTTCATTCAGCTCAAGTAAATTCTTAACTTTAATATTAGTTTTTTAAAGCATCACTTAGGAGCTGCTACCCCAGAAAATCCAGAAATAGAGCTGCTTCGCCTAGAATTGGCAGAAATGAAAGAGAAATATGAAGCTATTGTAGAAGAAAATAAAAAACTGAAAACAAAGGTAAATGTTTTAAAAGAATTCATGTTAAAAATAATTTCACCCTTAATGATTATAAGAACAAAACCTCACTAAAATGGATATTAGGGGAGGGAGGAGGATAAATAATCTCGATTAACTGCAAGGCTGAACTGATGCCCTATCTAGAAAACCACAAATTTTGTCCTGTAAATAGGACAAGCAACGTGTGGTCAAGAAGAGGTTCGTGGGAACCTGCATCAAGAAAAAGATGAGAGGGGCACCTGGGTGGCTCAATCGGTTAAGTGGCCGACTCTTGATCCCAGCTCAGGTCTTGATCTTAGGGTCATGAGTTCAAGCCCTGCATTGGGCTCCACGCAGAGCATGGCGCCTACTTAAAAAAAAATAAAAATAAAAAAAAAGATGAGAACATTGGTTAATGCTGCTTATGAGTAAATGGAGATTTCTGGGAGTTGTAAGCAGTTGATTTAAGTAGGTCATTGTAGGGTCAATGCTTTGTGAATGGCACCTCTTAAGAGTTGTGCAGTGCATAATCTGCACAGTTGTATGTGCTGGCCCTGGAATGTGTTTATCTCCATAAATTTGTTTGCACTTAATTTTGTCTACTGCTCAAATTTTTTCTTTGTTGAAACTCCTATGAGAATTTTCATAAACTTCCAATTAGTCAACTCTAAGTCTTTGAGGTTTTTCCACATTCTGAATCACATAACGCATTTTACATTACTCTAGGCATTTCTCATAATGTGATTTATCTGTTCAGCAACCTTGCGAGATAAGCGAAACAGGTACACAAACCATTTTATAGGTAGGAAACTAAAGCACAGTGAAGTCTAATTATCTTCTCAAATCTGACAGCTAATTGGAACAACCTAAATCTTAGCCTAGTGTTCTGGCAGGGAACCACAGCTTAGCATAATAGAAAATGCAGCATCTCAAATTGTCCAAGATTCCACAACACAAATACCAGTTAACTCTTTGGCACCCATTAAGTCAAAGACATGAGCTTCTCTTCATTGACTGGCTAGATTAATATATGTTACATTATTATTTTTTTCTGTTTTTAAGAGAAAGTTCAGTAAACTTGGGGTAAAGAGAGTAAGTCCCTTACCAGAAGTCACAACATCTTTGGGAAGATATAGATAGATTATTGCATATCAGGTATTTGAGCAGTGCAGTTATGAACTGAAATTCAGCTTTGGTTTCCCAGTAATTTTAAAGGTTTATATGAAAGAGTTTTCATTACATTTGATTGTATTAAATCTTAAATTGTATTAATCTTAAATGGTTTAAAAAGGGATAGGATATTCATATAAAGTTACTGATTCAGTAATTAAATTGAATATAATAGTTAACTACTTGTTTTGTTACTATTAAGTTTTTTTACCCAGTTTAGAATAAAATTCACCTAAACTCCTCTGTCTTTGCCCTATAGCTTGCTCAGTATGAACCACCTCAGGAGGAGAAGCGTGCTGAATAGGATTCTTCTCAGTTGAAAAGACACTGAAAAAATGGTTTTGTATGACTTGAATAGTTTGTATAGTATATAATCTTTTCTGAAGAGATGCTCTAGAACTCTTTTAATATGTTGAATTCACCTATCACACTTTAACTGTTATAAACACATATACTTAGAATCACCAATAAAAACTCAATATAACTTTCTTTGGGTCTTAAAAGCAGGAGAATCCAAAGTGAATCCTGGAAAAAAAAAATCTAAACACAGCCATCTAACTCATTACTTTAAGAGACATTCTGTTTATTAATCTGACTAGGAATGATGGTACTGGTTGTATTTTAGCCAAGGAAGTTCAGCATGGAGCTGTTCCTTGGTTTAGTGCAGGATATGAACACAGGTATAGTTATTCTTTAAAATGAAGATGACACTGTTGTTTATATCCTCTGTAGGCAGCTGGAGAGATCTGTGTGACAGAAGATGCTTTTGCACAGGTTCCCATGAATCTTCTGCTCTTGTTTATATAATGTGGAACAAATGACTTCTTTGCCACCACTTTGCCTTAGATAACCATGTGTGTGCCAGTCTGAACTCTGACACCACGTTTCCTTCTATGCAATCATGCCCTATCTGATGATGTTGCCTTGCTTTGCTCTGTGCTTCAGTGGGTCCTAGCTGCACCTGGCCTGTGTTGTTTTTCAATTTACTATACTAGTAGTTACCCTGATTGTAATTTATATAACTTCAAACAGGATCACACTGTTCCCCTGCCTTACTTAGTTGCTTAGTTGAGCAGAGAACTGAGGCAATATAAAATTCTGGGTTCACGCACAAGCTGGGATAAGATGGGGAATGAGCCATATATCGTGGAAAATTATAGTCTGCGGGTATAATTCTATAGTGCTTTTTTTCCCTCAAAGTATTTTTCTAGCCTTGAATTCATTTTATCTTCATTATCCCTGTGAAGTAGGTAGGGGAAGTATGAGGCAAGGTCGGGTGCTGAATTTTTAGGCCAAAGACTGATATTAATACAAATTATTTACTAACTGTAGAACCTTGGGCACTTCAGTTAACTGCTCTGAGATTCACTTTCCTCATCTGTTAAATGAGAATAAGATCAGTGCTGCCTACCTCACAGGGTTGTTGTGAGGGTCAAATGGAATGTATGTGAAAGATCTGTAAATGGTAAAGCACTTGTTCTTGTTTGTTAGTCCTTTTCCTTTCTTTTGGAAGACCTACAGTCAGATGTTTCATTTTGTTGGTCACTTATTTTCCTTACTGACTGACTTGACATTATTGAGTCATCCTATTTTGTGTATTCTAACCCTATTGTTAGAGAACCTGTCTTTACTCTTTGGTCAAAACACACGTAGAAAACAGAATGCTCCACTGAAAGCTGATTTAACTAGCAAAAGCCTTAGCACTTGCTGGAAACGGTGACCAAACTAACTGTAAGGGCATTTTAATCAGTCATGTTGGCAAGAATGTGGCAATGGTCTGTGTCTCTTCTAGTCACAAGTTTGTTTTTGGAGGGCGGCCAGATACTGTTGGAAGAACATTCACTTGAATCAGTTTATCTTTTACCAATTTGAGTGCCTCCTACATGCTCAGCAGTAGGCTGAGTGCTGGGTGTTACAGAGATGAATGACTTGAAGTTAGTTATAAGACATGTACATAAGCAATTACAATGTGGGTAATAAGTGCTAAGAACCGTAAGAACAATAAAACTTGGCCCCATGGGGATTCTGAAAGAGAGGGAGACTTGGCTTCTTTAAGCAGTTGGTATGACAGTCCCTTTGTGGAATACAGACAAGTAGAATTTTTTTCTGGCAGCCAACCCTCATTTGCTTTTCTACTATGGGACTACTTACTATTAGTGTTTATGTAAGGCAGGTTACTGTCTCTTGTACCATCCTTTTGGACAGAATGGCAACCAGTGGGTTGGATAATCACACTTTTAAGAGGGAACTGACCTGTTTAAGCTGCTGTACCAGTCAGTGCTATTCAAGAGTTCAGAGTCCGCCTGGCCTCTGGAGGTCCTCTTCATCATTTCTATCAAGGATATGGATGAAGAGAATGTACAAGAAGATGCTCAATGGAGTAGAAAAAGGATGTCATCCATTCAGTTCCTACTAGGCTTCAGCTGCCTTATCTATAAAATGTAGATTATATATCTTGCCTACCTCACAGGGTTGTTGTAAGGATCAAATTAAATATAATGGATGAAAAGTGCCTTGTAAATTGTAAAGGACTACATATGGGTTACATGGTGAAATGCCAAATCTGTAAATGCCACAAAGTTGGCTGGCTGGTAAACTATATTGAAGCAAGCTTGAAAATGATTAACTTGGAGTACCCCAACTTCTGGGCCTAAACCATAAAACTGAAATGTCAAGTCTTATATTTAGGTTAAAAAATGCAGTGGTACAAGTTTAGGCACTAGGACTGCTGATAAAATACTAGTTCTAGTGATTATCAGTGTGAACCACATATCCTCTGGATATTAAAAAAAAAAATTCCATTCTCGAAAGCATTAATATAAATATTGTCCAGCTGCTAAACAGTCACCCCGAAGGCTGTATTGGTCAGTATTGCATTGTAGGTGCCAGACATTTGGTGGATGATGAATGACAAGCCCAAATGCACGTAAAAAAGTGAATGATCAACAGGGAGAATATTGATAATACTTGATAATAAAAGGTTATGCTGTACAATATGGTAGCCACTAGCCACATGTGGCAACTACAGTTAAAAAAATTCAGTTCCTCAGTCACAGTAGCAACATTTCAAATGCTCCATCCACACTGGCTACTATACTGAACAGTATGGTTGTAGAATATTTCTATTACAGAAAGTTCTGTTGGGCATCAGCATAGAAGGGATGGTCAAAGGAACAGTATGTTTAATGTGAACAGAGAAGACTCAGGGGTAATGAAGACTGCAACCTAGTATTTGAAGGGCTGTCATGAAAAAGATGAAGACTACTCCTGTGTTGTTCCATTTTAAGCTCCAGTGAGTGTGATTTTTGGTCTAAATAGAAGACTTTCAAACAAAGTTTTACCTCAGTGGATGTAGCTGCCTTTTGAGATAGTGAGCTCTCTTCCCTTGGAATGCTGAAGTGTATGCTGCATTATCGATCAGCTAGAGGTGCTATAGAGTGGACTCTGTTTAGGAGAGAGATTGGACTAGATGACCTCTAAGGATGTGTCCTACCTTTAACTTACATATTCAGACATAACTAAGTCCCAGACCTGCAAAAACATGCTTTCCTTTCATAATCTAGAAGCTAGTTTCTTTTGAAAATCAGTGCCACCTCCATCACCTCCATTTTAAGAGGAGGATCTTGTTTCGTCAAATTTCCAATTCTAAAGCCTGTCAAGAGCGAAAATTCCTCTAGCTTTCTCAAAAGTATTTGGTGAAAGCATTTTAGTATGCTTTCATTATTCATTCCTTTGGTCTGTGATCGTGATCTGAAGGTCACAGAAGATGTAATGTTCTACGGGGAGGGGATATAAGTTACATGAAAAGTAGACTGGGTGGGAAGGAGGGGAAATTGAGTCCTTTTGAGTTTGAAGTGGTAGTAGTAACCACCGTCTGATTTGCTGAAGAGGTAAGGATAAGCTGTTCTAGCTTGGCTGCATTTGCTTTCCTGTTACTTGCTAGATCGACCTGTAATCGCACCCATGACTCTGCCTTGGGTTGAGGCTTTACCCTCACTCAGGCTGGCTCCTCCTCCCTACCCTTGCATATCCCAACCACATCCATCCATTTAGACCTGCTCAGACGCCACCTCCTTACACTTTCTCACCCTCCCAACTCCCGAGCATTTTTATCTGCACCTTTGACCTTTACACTTCATATCTCATGCCGAAGCTACTTACGCAGAGATCCGATCTCTATTAAATCTCCCAGCAACTTGAGGGCAGGCAGGGTCCGAGTCCGGTCCAGTTTTGTATCCCTTGTCCCCCCAGGGCATCGCGGGCATCAGTAAATACTGGTTGGGCGAGTACCATTGTAGGAGCACAATCAGTTCTTCCCCCAAATGCCCAGAGAGCATCTCCCGTTGCGATGGCCTCCAGAGCTCCCAAAAAGTCAGGGGAGCGGCGAGGAGCAAGGCGCGTGGCAGGGCAGGACCGAGGTGCTCGCTAGGGCGGAGGGCAGAGGGCTCGGCCGGCGGGCCACCCTCCTCGTGACTCCTCCTCCCCCCTCCACGGCTCCAAGTCAGGTGATTCCGGGCACGTGACGGGCACCACCTACCCTGCTGCTCCCGAGTGGCAGCTCGGGCGGCCAATGAGGGGCTGGGCCTCGGCGCGGAGCCTATGAGGGCCGGGCTCAAGGGGGCGGGCCCCGCGGCTGTGGAGGCTGCCGGGGGCGGCGGCGGCGGCGGACTGGGGAGGCGGCGGCCTGGCTTGGCCTGGCCTGGCCTGTCAGGGCGCGGGCGGCGGCAGCTCCAGCACCATGTCCCTGCAGTACGGGGCGGAGGAGACGCCCCTAGCCGGCAGTTACGGCGCGGCGGATTCGTTTCCGAAGGACTTCGGCTACGGCGTGGAGGAGGAGGAAGAGGAGGCGGCAGCCGCGGGCGGCGGGGTTGGGGCGGGGGCCGGCGGAGGCTGTGGCCCGGGGGGCGCTGACAGCTCCAAGCCGAGGATTCTGCTCATGGGGCTCCGGCGCAGTGGCAAGTCCTCCATCCAGAAGGTGAGTGGGGCCGCGCCGGGTCTCCCGGCTCCCCCTCCCCCTCCCGGGGGCTCGGGTGGCCGCTGGGCGCGTGGGGGGGGGGTGCGGAGGAGGGCGCGGCCGGGGCTGGCCGGCCGGGTTGTCCCACCGCGCTTTTTCTAGTCTGGGGAGTGGGGCCAGAGGTGCGGCCCGCGGAGGACCCGGACTCGGAGTCCACGCCCAAGTCAGCCGAGGCCGAGTGGGTCCCCGAAGGCGAGACTGGCTAGAGGGAGGCAGGTGCCGGTGGCACCGCCCGGGACCTCCGCCCCCTGGGACCCAACCCCAGAGTCCTTTCCGAAACTGAGACCGTACTCTGCAGTTCCAACTTGGAGAACTTGTCCGACTCCCTCCTCTGCCCGGTTTTTGTGTATTCCTCTCACTTCAGGTGACTTGAGTTTGCAGGGCTTCCCAGGTGAGCCCCAGGGACCTGCGTCAGGAAGACCTGTGACTAAGTCACTGGCCGTTTTAATGTTTACTGCTGCAAAGGAGAATTTAACATCACTGGGGATTGGGGAGCTGTTATTCCACCAGTTTTGGTACTTGGGGCCAGACGATTGTAATCGCTGGTGATAGTCCCTCCTGGTATGTGTGCGATACAAAAATCTTCTGAGACCTCGAGAATATTTGCAGACCTTTGTCAGTCCATTTGCTTTCACTTCGGGTCTGTCAGGAATAAATGGAGGGCTAGACCCTTTTTAGTAAGGGGGAAACTGAGGCAGGATTGGCCGCCTCCAGTAGCCATCCCCCTCACACGCAAGTG